TTTTTTTTTTTGTATTTTTATAGTCCAATATGTGTGGAGAAGCGTGAGGTGAAAACATCCATGCACTTTCTTCTTCATTGTATGTACATCCTTCATAAGATTGAGGTTGAAATATCTCGGCATTCTTACCTTCAGAGACATAGCTAATGGTTTTATGATCTATACATACATTCACTATAGGTACATTGAATATTTCTCGAATACTTTCCATTAGTTACATAGACAGTTGAGGTACATTTTCTTTGTCAATTTTCTACGTAAAATACTAGAATAATAGAAGATTATTAAGCCAATTCGCGGGGTTCGAATAAGTATGGCCTCCGTTATGCTTCATCCTTTGCCTGGCGAAAGCTGGACAATGGAGTAAAAAGCGCTTAGATGTTAACACTCTRGGCAGAAGGCTCTGTCAGCAAGCTCCAGACCTGTATTGTAACTATGCTAACAGCGCGGATGCATGCCACTAGTAGGATCCGTTTCCAAGTCGTTCCATTCCGCAGAGGTCCAAGTTGTTAAGCTTCATGAGAAATGCATTATTTATAAAGAAAACAAGAATAATCTGCAAAAAAATAAGTAAAATCAAACAATATATGAGAAATCATATATGCAGATCGTCAACCAGATTTCAAAATAAAAGTTAATTTTTTTTTTTTTGTTTGTGAAATCACAACATATACAGTTTTTCTGCAATAATTATAGCGATAACGGTAATAAATAGTCTGTATCTCGTTATATTACATGGAAATCGTTTTGCTGCAGTTAATACAAATGAATATAGAAATAAAATAGTTTGCATGCACGTTGACAATTGGCAGGTACTGTACGTGGCCAACAAGAGCTTCTCGTACAAAAGTAAGAAATGTACAAATGAAATGCAGAACGTAAGAAACGACTTACCTACATACTTGAAATATGGAAAAAAATTAATGAAAGGTGCATAGAAAGTTAATATATAGTAGGACATATATAGTAATCTACACACAAACAAAGCGGTAAATAGGAAAAGTTGAAATGTGTGGAAAATTTTGTTGTTTGTAATCGAAAGGTGCGTAGCAGATGATTGGAATATAAATACTTTGAGATATCTAAGAGATAGAGAGAGAGAGAGAGAGTGGTTGGCGTTTTGTAGCGGAGACAAATAGTATATGATAATTGATGTTTGTATGGAGACTTTTATTAGCGACTGTTAMAATATAAGTGTTTGAATAGAGCTAAGAAAAAGTGGGTAAAATATGAAAGTAAAGTTGAAAATCTTTTTTTTTGTAACCATAGCAATTATAAAATGTAAAAAAAAAAAAAAATACAAACAGTTGAATGAAATAAAAATATAAAAAATAAAAATAAAATAATAAATAAAAATGAGCTAAAATTTTCCTTAGCCATTAAGTTTTGTAAAACTGAAAATATTGCATGTATGCTAATATGTACATATGTATGCGAAAGAGTCTTAAAGCATTTTATACTTCAGCGCATGAAACAAGCGTTCATTTGCAAAAAATATGTAAAATACAAAGATTTATTTCCAACAAAAAACATACATACGAGAGATTGATTAATCACAACAACAACAACAAAATWTTTAAAATAAAGTCTAAAAAGTGTTATAGAACGTAGTAAGTACACTTATTACCATATATTATTGTAAAAAGAAGAAGAAACTCTTACTTGATCTTTGATCTAAACACACATACATATATATAAATATATTTAGACTTTCKTATAAACCGATAATATACATACATGCATACGTA